AAAAAAAAAAAAAAACAAAACCATTTAAGGGAAGGGCTGGGGATTTAGCTCAGTGGTTCCGCTGCCTGCCTTGCAAGCGCGAGGTGCTGAATTCGATCCCCAGTACCCAAATCCAAAAACATTTAAGGGAAGCATGCCAATTGGGAGGACACCTGGAGTGGACAACATGGATCTGTACATCAACATTTCTCTGCGCTGTCTTTAGCTTCTCCCAACGCCCCTCCCCCCAATTCCTGCCAGATACTATACCTTCTTTTCTGGTACAGGGATCAAACTCAGGACCTTGCGCTTGCCAGGCAGGCGCGGTGCCATTGAGCTACATCCCTGGCGCACATACTGTCCCTTTAGGGGCCACCAAGCGAGCAAAGCCTGAGAAGGGTGAGAGAAGAATGGCAGTTTGGCAGCGTATTCTCGGATTTGAGAGGGCATGGGCAAGGCCAAGCTCTAGGAGTTTCTCCTTTGCTCTCCCTGGATCCTTGGAATTTACACTGCACAAGCGAGACCTCCGTCATGCCTGAAGCTGGAGTTCAAGACTCGCCTCTCTGAAAAACCCTTACTGTAGGCTCGAAGCCAGGGAGTGGCCGGCTCAGTCTGGTCCCTGGGCCAGCACGGGACCTACATCAGGTGACTAGCTGCAGTCGCAGAGGTGTGCATCATCGTTTCTTCATTGAGCGACTGTGGGCTCTGCAGTGCTGGGGTTCCTTGGTCCGGTGCGCACTCCTTTTCTCGGCGGAGGGATCCCGTCTCGCCGCTCGCTACGTCCTACAAGGCGCGCTGACGTCGCGGAGGGCCGGCAATCAGCGCTGGAGCGGCCGGCGCGCTGGTGTTCCAGTTGGTCATGGACACCAGCAGGGAGGCGCACGGTCCGGGGCTGTGAGGGTTCTAGGGCGGCGGCCCCAGAACGGCGGCGACGCGACCCGAGCGGAAAGGGCCGAGGCGGCCGAACGAATTGGGGATGGGGAGGCCTGGACCGTGTACTTCCCCTGGGTGCGCTTGCGGCTTTGGGGGCGCACAGTGACGGTGGCGGCGCCTCTGGCCCAGCAGCTCCGAGGTCGCTTCGCCTGCGAGCCCGCGGCCGGCGGCAGGCCTGGCCATGAGGAGCGGCCGGGGCTGGGATAGGCCTCGCTGACCCCGGCTCCGCGCATCGGCCTTCCTCATTTCCGCTCCGGCCTCGGCATGAGCGTCCGCCCGGGCCCGGGGCCGCGACTGCCCCTGTCCCGCCGCCCTCGGACGCGCTCGGTGCCCGCGGATCCGCGGTGCTGATCCCGTTGCGCCGCCCGCCTGCTGTATGCCCCCGGGGCGCGGCCATGGAGGTGGTGGGCGACTTCGAGTATAGCAAGAAGGACCTCGTGGGACACGGGGCCTTCGCCGTGGTCTTTCGGGGGCGGCACCGTCAGGTGAGCGCCGCCGATCCAGCTGGCTCGGTCGAGGCCGAGACCCCTGGGCGTTACCGGACTGGGAGGTCCTGAAATTTGGCGAAGCTGCAAGAGCCGGGACCCAACCACCACCACTACGTGGCTCGCCGCCCCGGGCCTGCCATTGTGCGCCCTGTCAGAGTCGCGGGGTTTGTTTTGGTCTTGCAAGGATTGTTTTTTTGAGGCCGGATCTTCTAGGCAGCGCTCCACCTACCGACGGGCGCCCGGCCACTGATGGTCCCCCTCCTTGTCAGTGTGCTTGATAAACCAGAGTGCGCTGAGGCATTCGCCCTTGTGTGCCACACGGAGAAACCTTTCCACCTGAAGTTACTTACTGTGGAACGCAAGGTCCCCCTCCTCACTTCCCCGAGCTGCCAGGGCTTGTCACCTCTGAGGTTGATAATTGCAGATCCAGCAGAAAATGGGCAGCTTTCCCATTAGCCTTAGGCTTTCTCGAATGGGAGGTATCGCTTTTCCCACATTGGTTTTCCTACAAACCGACCAGTCAGGTATCATCTTAACTCTCCTGGGTTAGACGGACTTAAAGTGGAAAAAAAAATAGTTGGATGCTTCATTTTCCGTCCAACTAAACATGAACTCACGTTCAAGCCTAAAAAAAAAGAAAAAAAAGCGTTTGCTGTTTCTCAAGTAGGGTCACATGAGGTTTTAAACTCTTAAAGAATTTGGAAAGGCTTCAGAGTGGAAATAATCATAAAGACTTTGTTTTGATTGTTGCCAAGGGCCATGTTCACAGTGCACTGTCTTTGTTGCTTACTTTCCATTTATTGTGAAAATAACTTAAAACTCAAGGAAAAAATTAAAACACTTTATAATCTAGCCAAGCTAATACTGTTTTCAACTAATCATACCACTTTCTAAGTTTATATACACATTTCTCCATAACTTTTATGTGGTTGTAAACTGAGTTTTTTAAAAAACTTGGTGCTAGTTCCTATGTAATCTTCATATTTACTGTTTTTATAGCTGTGTTTAGAACATTGGTTTGTTATACTGATTTATGAAATAATTTTTCTGTTGCTGGAGATTGAGTTTCTTTTTAATTTTTCCCCAGTTCTCCACATTTTGTCTGCTGCTAAAAACATTTTGTTACTATAAATTTTTTTTCCTGTTGTTTCTGTCTAATAATTTCTAGGAATAACACTGTTTTTCCTTTTCAGAAAACTGATTGGGAGGTAGCTATTAAAAGTATTAATAAAAAGAACTTGTCAAAATCACAAATACTGCTTGGAAAGGAAATTAAAATTTTAAAGGTATGTTACTTTGTGTATTATTACATACTAGGGTAAAACAATGTAAACTAAATATACATGATGGCATCCTTTGCAGTTTTGGTTGTTGGGTCCAAATTTGGTAATTATCACCTGCCGCTTATTTTTATTATTTATATATTTATTTTCGGTACCAGGGATCAACTCAGGACCTTGCACTTGCAAGGTAGGCTTGGTACCACTGAGCCAAATCCCCGGGGCCCTGGTGCTTATTTTTATATGGTCAGTGTTTTGTTCAGTTTTTTTGTTTTATTTTTTTTTTAGAGTACCAGGGATCAAACTTGGAATCTTGCACTTGCAAGGCAGGCTTTGGAACCACTGAGCTAAATCCCCGGCCCTATGGTCAGTGTTTTGAAGCATTAAGTACACTGAAGCTTTTTTTTTTTTCCTGTTTTTTTGCAGTAGAATCTTGCTATATAGTATATGTGGTGCCGAAGGGAGCACCAGGATCTTCCATTATAGTTCAGGCTGGCCTTGAACTCACTATGTAGTCCACGCTGGCCTCGAACTGGAAGGAATTCTCCTGCTTCAGCCTCATGTGCTGGATTTACAGCCACCATGCCTGGCTGAAGCTATTTTTTGTTTTTGTTTTTGTTTTGTTTTGTTTTTGGCACCGGGGATTGAACCCAGGACCAAGCTAAATCCCTGGCCCCTGAAGCTATTTTTAATAACATATTTGTGGCTCTTGGCCAACCTTAGAGAGATTCTATGAAAATTGATTTTAACTTCTCGTAATATCTTTGCTTTTCTAGTTACTGTGTTACTGTTTGAGAAGAGGGGTAGGGAGGCCTATCTGGTACAGTGTTCACCTCTTCTGTTAATCCCTCTTACTTTACAATTAAATTTCTTTGGGAGGAGTGGGGTGACTTTTTTTTAATTGAAGGTTTTTTTCCTTGGAGGTAGTCCAAGGAAAAAATTTACTTTACTCCTAGCCAGTTATTATCCAAGTGAGATGTTTTGAGAAAAAAAAGGATTCCATGGTCAAATACATTTGGAAAATTCTGTTTATTGAATACTTGGACAGTCACAAAACACATTGCTCACTAAAGACAATGAAAAATTCTCCCAGTTTCAGCGTATTTAACTTCGTGTTTTGCAAACTAATATGAGCATAGAACTCTCATTCTGCACTCACCAGCTTTCCTCAAAACTATCTTGTGGAGAATTCTTTGGTAAGATTTATAGCTGAGGGGGCTGGTGATTTAGTTCAGTGGTTCAGGCGCCTGCCTCGAAAGTACAAAGTCCCGAGTTCAATCCCCGGTACCAAAAAAAAAATTTAAAAAAACACTAGATTTATGGCTGAGAAATATACTTTTTTTCTTTTAGGCAAATAATATGCTTTTTAAAAGCACCTTAAAATTTTGTCTCTCTTTTGCCATTAGAAATTTATATTAGGGGCTGGGGATTTAGCTCAATGGGTCTGCTGCCTGCCTCGCAAACCTAAGGTCCTGAGTTCGATCCCCAGCACCACAAAA